ATACCAAGCTCATACCGAATTTCAGGCCGTGAACAACTCCGAAACGCTTCGCCTGCTTGCAAGCATTGAACTTGCATGCTATCGTTGCAGACTCGCCGTAGTTGATCCACGAACCCATACCAAGGCTCGTCGGCGCATTGAGCGTGTCATTAAAGAGGATAGGCGCAGGAGACATAGGCGTCGTAAAGACCAGGATGCAATGATTGACGCATTCCAGCAACACCATCTCGCCGATGATGTGCCAGATTCATGAATGTATTCGATGGATGGATTAGACAGAGTAACGACGTGTTGACCAACAACCGTACATGATTGCGCAACCTTGAAGGTGCGCAGTAACATGCACATTGTATTTAAACACTACCCCCTGACAACTTCTTATTCTGGTGGCCTGACTTTGAGCATGTACTATTTAGACAAAACTGATGTTTGTTTACTGCATATGTTGGCGACTTTACATCATTATTCATCCCATCAACTGTCTTAAGATACGCACAATATGCTTGTCGGTTGTCACAAATTTTCCAGCACAAGTTGCGTACAGGTATCAAAATTTCCTCTTGTATTGCACTCCGGTGGCGGCGTCCCGGGGAATATATAATATTACGAATGTAAAGGGAGCGGATGTCGAGCTTAGCGCTGGCCATAAATAAGTGGTCTAAATAACAATTGTAATGAAGCGCCAGAAAAGCAGTAGAGATAGAGGACAAGACGCCTCCTATACGAAAGAAAACTGTCTGCAACATGTCCAAGGAGACGAGAGAGTGCGCACTGTGACAACATAGATTGTGCATCATGAATGAGGTGATAAAGGAGAGTGCGACGAAGTGGGTGAAGCAAGTGCAGTACTGGCATATGCTAGATCGGTCAGGCCCGAGTAATCAGACTGTGATGATATTGGTCTTGGTACAGACCCAGGTTGTGTGGCAAGGGGTTGCCGATGCTCTGAATACTGCGGGGGAAGTTCTATTATGCCATTATCGTCTGGCAAAACGTCCTCCACGTCAGTATGTAAGATGAACCGAGTGGAAGGTTTGTATGCTGTTTGGCCAGCCATTGCAGCTTTCCGTCTGCCAGTAGATGTCATAGATGAACTTCCACCATCCCGGTCCCCGGCGAAGCTGTCTGGATTAGATATTTGACGCGAATGCTGTGTCTGGTTAAATGGTGTGTGAGGATTGCTGAGCGCAAAATCGCCAGTGGACGGACTGGTAAGGTGTGATTGGGCTGCGGGATGAATGGGTGGAGCAAGATGGCTGACAGAGTCTGTCTGATATGGGAATGGGTAAATTGGTGGAACGTGACCATATCGGCTCCCTTCGCGGTCGAGATCCATAGATGGGAGTCGATGTGAATGGCGTTTCGAAGAAGATATGACGTACGGAGAACGAGACGCTCTTCGTTTGCGCAACAAGAACATGCCGAGGGAGGCCAACGCGGCGAGGGCTATCACACAACCAATCGCCGCACTGGCAATAGTAACAGTATTACTGCTTGATGAAGTATTTTGGCTGGACGTTGGCGAAATGCCAGCTGACGTGGATGCTGTGGTGGACGAAGGCACAGATGCAGTTGACGATGGTGAGTTGGAGCTGAGGCACGCGGCATTGTTTGAAAGTGCCACCGTCTCAAAGTCAGAACTGCCACCTTGCCTACCCTGGGAATCTGTCATCACAAATACGAGGGTCGTCCCGGCGCTAACATCTGCAACCCAAGTATAACTGGGGCCAATCGGAGGGTAGAGTATGAGCGACTCCCCACCAGGAATAAGTGCCTGTGGAAAGGTAAGTATATTCATAATCATGATAGGGTCAGTGGTAATCTTACCGTAATAGTAATGGGTTGGGTTGCATTGCCATAGTCATCAAAGGTATACCCACTACGGAAATGATAGGTCAAGGCCACAAAAGGTAAGCCAATCAAAACTTACTTGCATTGCTGGAGTGATGATGGCAAATCAAACGTGAAATCCACAGATGCACCTGTAGTGTTGCAGTTGTTCTTGGCAACAGGATTACCGACCTTTAAGATGGGTGACGTCCCACCTGAGCCAAATGCGGTGGCATCAGACATAGTGAGTAGAAATTGTGTTTCATTCCAAAATGGCAATTGGGATATTGTATATGAGCCTTTGTTATTGCTGAAGGCTGATGCCGGTACAGATATATTCTGCGGTACTGCGAAAACCTAGAAGGCGTAAGGTCATGATCGACACACACGATAGCGCTGACGAACGGGAGTCAAGAGGATCTCAAATGGTGGTTGACCACCTGATTATCAGGTTCAGCAGGAGTATATAAAATATACTAGATGCTTGCTTACCAGTCCATGAAACAGAGAGATCGTCGCATTGAGATGGAGTCCCGACTGTCACGCTGAATGCGCGTGCTGCTGAGAAGAAAGAAATTATGCACGTAAACGAGCGAAGGTGCGGTGAGTTTCGCATGCTCAGATAATGAAGAAAATGATAAAGAAGGACACGGACACAGTCCCAGCCAAGGAATAATGACAGAGAATTTGTGCGAAGAGGAAAGTGCAGAAAATATCGTGCCTAATGCCGACCTCATGCCAATTAATTGCTTATGTCAGCATAGATACTGGTTCTAAGTAAAGTAATTAGACGAGGGGCTCCATAACGGCGCAACCATGAGAAAAATAAATAAGCACACTGCACGCTCGAGCTCGTTTGATTGACATCATATGTCAGAATATCCTACAGGCGCTTTGATAATACTTTACATATGACAAGGTGACTTTTAGATTGCATTTATCGTGTCAGGAGAGGAAATGTTTCACAATGGACACAAAAGAGACGGCTTGGATGCAAGGCAGCGGCGCGTGCCTGCGGCCGCAAGGTCCATCATTTCATGGGAACACCGGTGACCCTGAGTGGTGTTGCAGACATCATCGACAAACGATGTACATCATGAGTTGTCTCCGCGTATCCAGTAATTGACCATGGAAGTGAGGAATTGGATTCGGACGGACAAGGAGTAAGCACAGCTCAATTTCCCCTCTGCATCGTCTGCCGAGACGTTGGGGCTAGTTGTGATACGGGTAAGAAATATTGAGGGAAACCGTGACCGCAGCCGATTACAGTATATCGATTATGTGCGATGCATTTGATTGAATTCTTGATAAGATTCCAGTAAAAGATGCACTGCATACAACAGTCAGGCTAGAACATGTGAGGGTGGGCTAACGTAGTGGCACAGTTTTCGAGGTGTTTCTCATACTCAGTACGATTTCATAGAAAGCATAGGGCTGAAGCCTGAACCATGTACCCAACGTTTGAGTTGATGCCTCAGGGACAGCTATCAAACGGGCTCGAGAGATCAAAATGGCATAGACAAAGGTATACAAATAGTACCTCCAAGAATTGAACACTGTCGCTTCTGATAGTTGATCGTTGAAAATTTCTTTTCAACTGCCTTCTCTGTGAGCCGTAAGGCTAAATTTTTGTTTTCGCTGTGTCGCATTACAATATAGATAATCTGCTATGAAGAAGGAGGCGGATATCACAACAGACCTCACGGAAATTCAATGAAGCATGCGTAGCCGTCACGCGTCAACGCGTCTAGAACGACGGACGTGACTACAATGTCCACGTGATGATTAACTTCTAAAAATCAATCGCCGCATTAACCCACGGCAATCGCCGAAGTCCAAATCTTGTGCTGGGTGGTAAGCTGCTCGCCGTCCTCAGCGTCAAGAAAGCCCGTCCTCAAGGTGAGTATGCTCGTCCATTGCATGTTCTGTTATACGAAGGCCTGCCTTTGCTGCATATGATCGGAGAAAATGGTGCGGACAGGCAGGTGGAAAAGCTGGATTCGACCATATGCTGTCAGATGTACTACTCTACATGCATCCACATCACAAAATCATTGTGCTGACATTATAATTTTGGCTCTAGACTAAGCCATGGGTTTCGCGCACAACAACGGTCTGTACCTCATCGGAAACTTTCGTTCGACACGTCCGATCTGACAATATGTGTCCACAGTACTTCACTCTAACCATTTCCGCAAAGACTGGCAGCGCCGGGTACGCACCTGGTTCGACCAGCCCGGTCGCAAACTCCGCAGACGTAATGCTCGCAAGGCCAAGGCCGCTGCCCTTGGTGTCCGCCCACTCACTCTCCTCCGTCCCGCCGTTCGTGCCCAGACCGTTCGCTACAACCGTAAGGTCCGGGAGGGCCGCGGTTTCACCTTTGCTGAGCTGAAAGAAGTTGGTATTAACCGCAAAGAAGCACTTGGTGTAGGTATTGTCGTTGACCACAGGAGGAGGAACTTGAGCGAGGAGGGGAAGAAATTGAATGTCGAGCGGTTGAAGGCCTACAAGGCCAAGCTGATCGTTTTCCCTCGGAATGCTAAGAAGCCCAAGAAGGGCGACTCGACTGTATGTGGTGTTCGCCCTTGGAATATTGGATCGATGTTGATTTTTGCTTGATAGGGTGCTGATCTCGAGGCTGAGACTACACGCACGCACCTTCCTCTTCCTGCACCCTACATTCATGAAGCACCCCGCAAAATCACAGACAATGAACGGTCATTCGAGGCTTTCAAGACCCTTCGCGTTGCACGAGCTGATGCTCGGTATGATGGTGTACGCAAAATCCGGGCAGCCAAGGTTTGTTGTTCACCAGCTGTCATGAATTCAGCTACTCAACGAAATGTTATTGTTTGCAGAAGGAGGAAGAGGAAGCAAACAAGAAAAAGTAGTCTTCTCTTCTTTATGTCTTACCACACTACATCATGCTTTCCGGTTACCCTCTTGTATGCTCCTAAAAGCCGGGTACGACAAGTTGTGCCTAGGGCATTACATGCGTTACGTATGCTCATGGACACGACTGTTTTGCGTTGCATCGAAATCGCAAGCCACTTCAGTGTTTCAATCACACGCTCTATCTACATAGTCATGATGTATCAGAACGTGAAGATGCCGAAGGTGTCCGATTATGGTTGGATCTAGTAATGCTTCTGTCGAAGAGTCCCATGCGTTTATCGCACTTTTTGCTCTATCGCCTCCCGAATCTCGTGATCGGCGACCATACCCACGATCTTTGCTTGATCCGCCACACCTTTGAGCACGTCTAGCACTTCTCCATTACCGCTAATGAATCCAAATTCGGCATACACGAGGTCTTGTTCCTTGGCGAATTCCTTCACCAGGACACTAGCCTCACGCAAGTTGTGTCGTGGAAGACGCGGGAAGAGGTGATGAGTCACCTGGAGATGCAATCCGCCATGTATGAATGAAAGGTGAGGAGGACATATGACGTCTGTTGTAGTTCGAAGTTGGCGGTGCGGGAACGATTCCACCGGCCCCAAATCCTCCGTAGACATGGAGAAATGTGATAAAACGATCTGTGGCCACATTAATGAACGGGCAATACACCGAGATAGTCACGTGCCTGGACATGAAGAGGACTTGTGACGACATGCGAGATCATAAAATATGTAATGGCTCTGCTCCATGATCCACATCCCTTCAGGACTGCTCCATACCAGAACCAGAAGAAGAGGACGCCGATGACTTCGAGCCACCAGGACCACCGGCCACCCCTTGCTCTTCGATGATCGAAGGCTTTGCGCCACAAGAATCCATATGCATTGGCATATAGATTGAAGCGGCCAAAAGCAAGCAATATGTAGAATAGCTTGTGTTGTAAAGAAATCAAGAAAGCAGAAACTCGATTGAAGACCATGGTTCGCTTGTAGTACGACGACCACAACGATTTGAAAAACGTCGTTGAGACTGCGAGGAATGGTAGATGCGCGATATCAGGATCACTGTCATTTTTTAAGTGTATGTGCAGTGACACAACAGCCATCGAACTTACTGCGAAGGGTGATTTGTAACCACTAAGCAAGTATCAGTAGTTAGACCAAGGTATGTTGCAAAGCGAAGCCTCACAATGATGCACGTTGTGATTCTTGAGATACGACAGGTGTTCAGCGAGTGGACGTGGGAGAAGTAAGTGAACTTACGTCAACCCACCAACCGACACTCAAACCACCGATGAAATCAGCTAATAAGATGGCAATGAGGCGATCTTTGGTCCAATCATGAGTGACACCCATGTGTCCTAAATCGTGGACGGTGAATACGAGCTGGTGCCATAGAAGGCCGAGGCACACAGCACTTATTATGAGCCAGTCATGGGAGTAAGCTACTGCGGATGACGCAGCGAGGAGAAGATAGCGCGCAATCTCAGGGCCATAACCAGTGATGTAACGCGTGTTATAAAGACCGGCGTCGATGATGCGATTATGCAACGCCTTGTAAGCAGCAGAATGACGAGCTTGGTCTTTCAAGGAAAGTCTTGTTGCAGGGGGAACCAAATGAGATAAAGTGGGACCTGAAGTTTCAAGGAGGCAAGAGTCACGTTCGACGAGGAGAATCTCGGAGGAGAGATTGGAAGGTGGTAGTGGAGTGGCTTCATTGTGCCATGCGGCTTTGCCATCATGAGACAATTTCCGAACCCAACCTGTCATGATTGGGGGTACAAGAGGTTCCCAAATGCCGCCCGAGGTTTCGACTGTGCCAATGACGTACGACTTTATTTTTGCAAGAGTCTGGTCACAGTGATACGCGTCTATCTCGTCGGTGGCATCGCGTCCTACGAAATGAAGAATTGCGAGGGAACCACCTGGATGGGCATTTAACCAAGCTTGGGGAATGCGCAGCAACTGGTTATGGTAAACAACCAGTGTTTCACCAGCAAGAACGCGGACTGCGACTTCCTCTCGGCTCCATTCCTTCTTCGTTGCACCCATGGCAGCAGATTGCTGCAAGGTGATGAAATTAGGTAGTAACAAAGTTACTTTGAAATTTTAACCGTAGGTGACTGAAAGTGGATAACACACTACGGCCGGATTGCCAAGTTGGTATAAATAGGGCAAACATAGCCTTGGTGACAGCATCGTTCCCGCCGTCACAGTCGACGTCCACAATCGCCTAACTTCGTTATCACAAACGACGAGCAGCATTACCATTAAATATTCTTCTTTGAAGTAAATAACGCTTGGTCTGGGCGTGTCAATAGGTGAACACGGGTGACATGGCCGCCTCGCATATGTTGAGTACTTCCAATAATCCAGCTAGCAAACATATTACATCAAGACAACCAACCCAACCACCCAAACAGAGTAGAACCCGCCACAGATCTCATTCAGACCCTTTCTCAGACCCAGTTTACCCATCAAAGCCTGTTCCCCGCCTTCCCCCAGAGCTTCCGCCTAAATATCCCCAATACAATAGGATGGCCCCGTCTCCTGCCAAATCTCTCACACATCGCGATAATACAATCGTAGAGGCTGTTAGGGACACTGTTCAGGTCAAAGGTGTAGATCAGTCTTCACGCACAAGAATGGGAAGAAGTCAAACGTATGTCCTTGTCTCACCCGTTTTTCTCACTGACGCTAATCTTTTCACTTATCAGTGCCCAGGGAAATTCCCCGTTACGTCCCACATATACCGGTCGTCGTTCATTATCCCAGGATTCCATCCTTCACACAGCGAATGCTCTTGATAAGGCTAAGGGCAAGGCACGAGGCAAGAAAGGCTCCATGCATGCGGACGTCATAGACAGACTTGATTTCACTGGCGTCGGTCCCAGTACGTTCTTATTCGGCTCCTTAAACTATTGTTTATTAATCTATAATCTTTTTTGTGTTCTAGTGTTCCATCATGATGGTCCATTTGATGCTTGTGCACCATCTCGGAACCGCCATCGAACTAAGGCGCCTATGCTTGCCTGGAGCAGCGCGGGGGCAGATGTGGCGCTATCCAATGAATCCCCCTACCCCTCACCTGACGCTTACAAAGGTGCCTTTTCCGCTACCTACCAACCCCCAAAGAAGAAAGTCGATGCCATCGCAGAGGCCTGGGGTATCCATGAGCCAGAACCGTACGAGGAATTTTTTGCAGGTGGGGGTACTGGCAGACGTGATGGTGACACACCGTCTAATTCAATATACGCCGGGAGGGAGGGCCACGGATCACGGAACGGCACGCCGCGACACTCCCTTGGAAAGCGCTCCAAGGACGGGCGTGACCTTCGTGATGTGTATAGAGAGTACCCCGACGACGATATGAAACAGATGCAAGCCCGCGACCGAGAGCGAAGCGGTGAGAGAGAAGGAAGACGCACCAAACGCGGTGGTATCCCGCCCCCGCAGCCTATCCTTGTGCCAGAAGCCCAGAGTACCGATTATGACAGCGCACCGGGGTCTCCGTCACTGCCAGGAGTCCCAAAACGCACCAAATCATTGATGCAACGCATTCGCAAAATGCGTGACTCCCCAAATGTGCCCTTGGGTTTTGACGAGAGTGTCGAGCCTCCTTCTCCCAATACGGATATCTACCAGCCATCGCGCCCTACACATCGGTCACAGAATTCGTTCCTTGGGCGCTTCTCCAATGGCTACAACGGTCCCGGTCGTCCAAACACTTCACCTCCTTCAGATGAAGCATATGTGTACGTCGATGATCTGCGCAGGGACAAACGACTACCTGCCACTCCTTATGCTCCAGCGACAACTCGCACGCCATCCGCCGAAGACAGACGCGGGTACTTTGACGGTGCACCCAGTTCTCCGCCATTGGGCGGCCTTGGGCGAAAAACTAGCTTATTGAAGAAAGTGAAGGACGTAGTCAGGGGCCCAAAATGAGCCTAGTCCTCGATTTCTGGATGTATCCGAGTATTTGACCGCTAGCCCCCATACGCATGTCTTGTTGAGACCACTCTAGTTTTTGTCCTTTCTTGCACTTTTACAGCCATGATCGCTGCCCTGTTTCTCTTCTCTCGTCCAAAGCTTGGATGAGATATACCTAGGAATCGGTTGTGTTTTTCTCCCTTCGTCGTCGACGCTCCTGACCCCATGCTTGTATCCATTACGGTGTTTGTAAAAATCTACATATACTCGCGAGACGGTTTATTTACTCTGCATTTTTCTACCATACTTCCTGTTGTAAGAGTATGCAGTGGCAGTCAATACCCTGAGGTTTTCATTAAACGCTTTTCGAAGATGCATCTGCAGATGTTCTGATCAATTGGTTCTACAATGTGTTCACGGTAGTCTTCTATAGAAAAGTGCACTATAGATAGAAGATCACACAGTACCGTACCCCTCGATCACAGCTACAATATGAACAGTCTATAATTTTAGTTGTCTTCTTCATGATCTGACGTTGATACCGGCCAGCCTCGAAGCTAACTTGACTTCGTGTATCCCAACTTCCTCCCGATGGAATATCCCCGCGGCAAGAGCAGCTTCCACGCCTGTCTCAACAAACACACTCACAAAATGTTCCTTGGTGCCTGCTCCACTGCTCGCAACAACAGGAATAGTCACTGCGCGCTTCACGAGCCCGATCAAGTCATGATCAAAGCCGAGGCCTGTTCCATCGCGGTCGATGCTATTTAAAAGGATCTCGCCGGCGCCGAGGATCTGTGCACCTTGCGCGAGTTGCACAACTGACACGAGGCGAGTCTCGCGACCACCTGACACGGTACATTGGTACCACCAAGCTTTGCCCCGCTCGTTTTCAGGACTGTCTGGTCGACCATGTACAAGCTCATCCTTGTAGGGGCCGTCATATGTGGCGGGATCGACGTATACTCTTTTGGGGTCTATGGAAACGACGACGGCTTGAGAGCCATATACCTTCGCAATGGTTTCAATGGCGCTGCTGCCGTCTAATATACCGCCGGCTGCGCGAACTTTCTCGACAGCGTAGACTGCTTCAGAGCCGATGCTAACCTTGTCAGCACCGACTCGGAAATATGCACCAGCGACCTCGACAGCAGAGCGTTTCGTGCCATCGGGATCGACTGTATCTTTGATACCCCCTCCGATGGTGAGCGGTACGAATACACGTTCTGCTGCAGCCCGCACAACTGCGAGCATTGGCTGATCCTGGAGGGGGGAGTGACGGAAGGAAGTGATATTAAGGAGGACACAGCTCATCTGCCCCTGACTCGAAGTAGCGGGCTGCTAGTGCAACAGGCTTGCCAAGGTTGCGGACTGCACCTGCAGTTTTGATAGCAGTGGTGCTCGATAGTGGCGTTGATGTGAGAGACTTCTCGCGGACGTCATACTGATCCCCTTTGGTCACGATAAGATCACCTTCGTCGTTCGCACGAACATCCATGCAAGCGATGATGCGTCTAGTGAAACCGTGTTGCGATTTAGGAGGGCGTGGAATCCGAGCTGATGGTTCGGCTGGTGTGCGACCTGCCAGTGACTGTTTTATCCAAGCGTCGATAACAGTGAGTCCAGCAACACTGGATTTTTCGGGATGGAATTGAGCACCAAATACATTGCCTTTTCGGACGGTGGACATGAACACTTCCTGCCCGTATTGGGTAGTTGAGTGCGCCCACATAGCAGCCTCAGGATTGCCTTCTGGGTCGTATTTGGCACGATACGAATGGACGAAATAGTAGTGATCTGAAGAAGAAACACCTTCTGAGGACAAAGTGTTGGAGTCTATGGGTTCTGCGGTATTCCAGCCCATATGAGGAACTGGTTTAGTGGTATCATCGAATCGTTCCATTTGACAGGGTATAAGACCTAGACCAAGCGTTGATGGGGATTCTGCAGATGACGCAAAGAGGATTTGCATCCCAATGCATATGCCAAAGTACGGTTTCCCAGATTGAATGTAGTTATAGAGGGGTTCAAGTAGACCACGCTCTGTCAAACATTCGATCGCAGTGTGGAAAGCACCTTGGCCTGGAAATACAAGGATCTGGGTGGAGATGAATCAAGGTCAGATGGGCATAGTGAGGTGATGACATACAGATGCTTTGTGGAAGTCCTCTGGACTAGATATCCACGAGAAATCATAACCGAGTTTCTTGATTGAATTAGCGAGACTCTGGACGTTACCTGCACCATGGTCGAGGAGAAAGAGTGCCATGGTTTACAACTTACAAGCTTAAGCCTGAGCTTGACTCACTCGTGAGTTGCTATATCGGGATGATCAAAATTTGCAATCAAGTTTGAGAATAGCGCCGGATGTCGTAAATATAGGACTCACTCATCAAGAACGTCTCATATATAAGAAGGTATATTCAGACTGACATGGATCATCCTTACTTCCAATCCCTCAGAATGACCCCCCCACTTGCCATCCCCTCAAAATCCCCAAGAGCCGTAGCTGCTTCCGTCTCTCCTTCATCGTCGCAGACACTCCATGACAGGCTGCGCAAGCGGGAGTCGTGCCCAGCCATCAGAAAGCCCAAGGTTCTTCATCCAGTCGACAACGAAGACCTGAAGCTCTTGATCCTAGAGAACATCAGCCAGGATGCAGTCCGAGCTTTTCAAGCGCAAGGATTTCATGTCGACCACTACACAAAAGCTTTTTCTGAGGATGAGCTTATAGACAAAATTTCTCAGTACCATGCTATAGGCATACGCAGCAAGACCAAGATCACAGAACGGGTCATCAAAGCTGCACACAAAGTATGTCCATCTATCCCCGATCTCAATGGCCACCTCTAAGTCCTCCTTCCCTAGCTTCTTGTGATCGGCTGTTTTTGTATTGGAACAAATCAGGTCGATCTGGTTACTGCCGGCAAGGCCGGAATTCCTGTCTTCAACTCTCCATTCTCAAACTCGCGCTCTGTTGCAGAGCTTGTCGTCTCCGAGATGATCGCGCTTTCGCGGCAGCTCGTCGAGCGCTCGCATGAAATGCGCCAGGGAATCTGGAACAAGCAATCGAAAGGCTGTTGGGAGGTTCGAGGCAAAACGTTGGGTATTATTGGCTATGGGCACATCGGGTCACAGCTGTCAGTGCTGGCAGAAGCCCTTGGCATGCGTGTCATCTTTTACGATGTCATAAACATCATGCCTCTTGGTTCGGCTCGACAAGTTAACACTCTTCCTACGCTATTAGCGGAAGCTGATTTTGTCACGCTTCACGTGCCAGAGCTTCCTGAGACAATCAATATGATTGGATCGCAGGAGCTCGCGCAGATGAAAATGGGGTCCTACCTTATTAATAACGCTCGCGGACGTGTCGTCGACATCCCAGCCTTAATCGAAGCCCTCCGGTCAAAACATCTCGCTGGTGCAGCCATAGATGTATACCCACAGGAGCCGGGGTCTAATGGGGCACCATTCGACGATCAGGTTAACTCATGGTCAAGCGCTCTACGCAGCTTGCCAAACGTGATACTCACGCCTCACATCGGTGGATCAACAGAAGAAGCGCAGCGCATGATTGGGGAGGAAGTGTCTCTTGCTCTCTCTCGGTACCTGACCTACGGCTCCACCCTCGGGGCAGTTAATTTCCCCGAAGTCGACCTCCGCGCGATCACCGCAGAGCAGGGCAATCATGTCCGTGTTTGCCATGTCCACAGCAATCAGCCTGGTGTGTTGAAACAGGTCAACGAAGCCCTCTCGCCATACAACGTCGAGAAGCAGTACTCAGATTCGAAAGGTGACGTCGCATATTTGCTGGCAGATATTGCGGACGTCAGCCCCCAAGACGTGAACAAGCTACAGGAGATGATTAAGCACACGAGCGCGAACATCCTCACTCGCTTGTTGGCTTGATGGTGGGAATGTATACATTTGTAGATTTGAAGCATCATTGACAGAAACGGACTGTTCCACCCACAGTATAGTCTACTACAGGTCCCACTCAACTGGTATCTTATCTTTCGAATAGAGACATATCTTAAGTGTTTCTAGGGTGGAAGAAAACCACTACACAAAATGTCTTTTTAGAATCGATTACGGAGCTTCCCTGATAGTGATAGAAAACTGAATGCTACAAGAATACAAATTACATGAGGGTATTGATACTCAAGTCTCTTCTTCGGGATCACCGATTCCACTGGACAAGATTGCAAAGTGAGTCTCCATCTCAGGAAGGCAGGGCGAATCATATATTTTGCAAGTTCGAGTGTTTCCGCGGGCCTTCTTGAGTTGTAACCTAATAAGACAGCTCGCTTAGCGAACCAACCGACGATAATATGAATGCATACCGGGTCGTGGAAGCATGTGCCATGATGTTTCCTCCGATGGGTTTCTTCTCGTTGCCTGCGTATGGTCCTGCTGATGCATCCGGATTGGACATGACCTGATTTGTGACAACGACTGCAATGCCGAACTGTTGTGCGGAATGAATACGGAGGTATATGCAGACTACTTCTCCTCTTACCTCATCTGCAAGCCGTTGGAGGGTTCTTAAGAATTTGCCGAGATGGTTCTGACGCGCCGACAGCTCACCGCGTCCACTGAAGTCAGTGCGATAGAGCGCGGTACATGAATCGACGATGAGAAGGCAGAATCTAGTATAATCGTGAGGAACACCATCAAAATACGCATATAACCAGTTCGAACCTTGATTCCGCCATTAGCGCACTGGCGCTGGTGAGAAGGGAGTTCTGATGGTCAGCGTTATATGCTCTTGCATATGCAACATTGTCAAGAACTTCCTCTCCACTCAGCCCATAACGTTCCGCGACTGCAAGTAGGCGAGCAGGACGGAAAGTGCCCTCAGTGTCGATGTAGAGACATTTGCCCTCGCCACCGCCCATGCTCACAGGCAATTGACATGTTACTGCCAATGTGTGACACAGTTGTGATTTTCCGGTCCTGAATTCTCCAAAGAGCTCAGTGATGGCACCGGTCTCGATACCCCCTGTAAAGAAGTGAGAAAACAATCATACTTTCTGAATGCTGAAATGTCACCTCCGAGTAAAGCATCGAGCTGCTTTGAGCCCGTCGTAATGTGAACGAGTTCAGAACGTCGTGCATGAACCTCAGTGGCGCTCTGAAAGCCAAGGGGGACGATTTTCTGAGCTGGATGATGTGACTCATCAGACACTGATCGCATGATGCCAGGATCTCAGCACTCACCTTCTGCCAAGATCTTGTCCGCCTTCGCGTCTGAAATGCCTTTGATTGCTATCAAATTCTTTTTGGGCGTGAATGCGACGGCCTCGACAGTGTTGAGTCCTGCATCGGAGAGCTTCTTGATGTCATTGGCGTGAATTCCGGCTTCCTCCAGTTTGCCAACCATGAGCGGACCAGACATGGAAAGGCCGCCCTCCTGCGCTTCTTCATCTTGAGATGCCTGAGACATTATCGCTTTCTGTTAGAAAACAAACACACAACCGTGACTGTATAGTGGGAAAGAGTGGGAGTCCCAGTCGAGGCGCAGTCATATGTAATGAGGACGCGTTGTGTCACGTGGTCGCGTATTATCCATTTAATTTTTTCATTTACAGTCGGCTTTGCCGGTGCGTTTGTAAGTACAATGACTCGCGACTGGACAATATCGATATCCACGCCCAGAATAAGATATATTATGAGTCTAAGCGGATGGCTCAACCTCCTCCACAGACGAGTGAGTAACATCAGAAACTACCCTCTCCGAATCCGAAATTCCCAACAAGCCCTTTCCGAGAGCTCGCTCCAGTGCGTCGACGGCGGCGAGGTCAAGTATAACCCTTCTCCACTTCACAATGTCGTAGACCACCAAGTCTGTTACGGTTCTGCACTCTATCCCACGAAGGTTCCTCGATGCCAATCTCATTCTTGCCGGCACCTCGGATTCTCCGGTGACAAACAAGGTACCGGTTCTCCATCCGAGTCCGCTCAACCTTGAGTTGAGGGTGGCAGTCTTGTGTGACCACCAGTTAATCCGCTGCAAGACACCCAGTCGTTGTTCCCGGAGCTTCATCGTCAAAGCCACGCGCATGCCCATCTGGATAACTTTGCGATTAAGCTTCGTGCTGAAATCTCGCGGTTTGGGACCGAAAGCGACACCTCCACCCCTCAACATCGGACTCTGCCGATCTCCCAGGCGAGCTCTGCCGGTTCCCTTCTGTGGACGAATTTTGCGACGTGAACCGGCAACCTCAGCGCGCGTCTTAGTAGATGCAGTTCCTTGCCGAAGAGAGTCCAGGTGGTGCACGACGCAAAGATGTAGAATATCTCGCCGGATAGGATGGTCGAACACCGTTGGGTCCAGAGCAACAACTTTCTTGGCACTGTTCGACTTCCCAGTAAAACTCGACATTGTCACATATACCGGTTTGATTGAATCAGCAGCTATTCCCCAATGAGCGTATGTCTCTTTGGCATCAATAAAATCACCTTTGCGAATTGCAAGTTTGCTTTGTGAAGTAGTCGGCGCAATTGTGGCCATTCGCCTGCGGCATATTGCTTGCGAAGACTGCTGATGTTGTTAGGACGGCCATGGAAATAAATATGGACTTTTCCTCACCCCTGCCACTGATTTCCGCAGAGCAGAAAACATTGGGAACCGTCAAGCTTGATAATTTACAGACCAGAGAAAGGACAAGACGAATTGCAATTCTAAATTTGGATCGTGAGAATTTGTTGCCACCACTCACCTGTTGTTGCAAGCCCGCTGTGAATATCGACCGTAACACCTCAAACGACCTCCAGAGGGTGAGTTTATGCTCTTATGCTACGTGTTGCAGACATACGATGCGGTCGTGTCTATACGGTCCGGAATATGCACGAATATCATTAGGGAATGGCCAGTATTCGATGGATTGGGGTTAGATGAATTGGGTTACACCTACTTTGGCTTCAAATATGTCACTCGAGACCAGTTGCTGAACTCGCTCTTTCCGCCCCTAGAATTCATCAAGGAGCCGAACCCCGGCAGATTCCTCTATACGACAAAATGGCATCTACAGTAAAGGCCGTCCAAACATTCGGCAAAAAGAAGGCAAGTAACAACACCGTCGCGCTGACTTATTGCTCACCCCAGAGTTATCAGACTGCAACTGCAGTCGCACACGCTAAGGAGGGTCGTGGTATCATCCGCGTGAATGGCTCTCCCATCAACCTTGTCCAGCCTGAGATCCTCCGCTTCAAGATCTACGAACCCGTCCTTGTAGCTGGTGAAGACTCATTCGCACCACTTGATATCCGTGTGCGCGCCAAGGGTGGTGGACACACATCACAGGTGTACGCTATCCGTCAGGCCATTGCCAAGGCTCTTGTCGCGTACTACGCCAAGTACATCGATGCATACAGCGCAATGGAGTTGAAGAAAAAGTTGGTTGCGTATGACCGGACGCTGTTGATCGCAGATCCTAGACGGATGGAGCCGAAGAAGTTCGGTGGTGCTGGTGCTCGTGCTCGCAGGCAAAAGAGGTTTGTACATCGGTTGCGTGAAGTTCGTGAACACTCGACTGACAAAAATCTCCAGTTACCGGTGAAACCACTTTTTTGGTACATATCTTTTTTATCATGTTACTCCTTTGTCTTTGAACAACGCCATGATAGCATGTGTGCAACTATGATTATGAATTGCAAACATTGCCACTCCAGTGTTTATATGTTCGGAAAACAAAGCGTTGTTAGAGTGAACAAGGCGCGCACCAGCTATGAGCCAGACCTATGTATCGTAAGCTGCCTCTACTCATTTCTGTGCATCTACATACATGTAGAGGATATTGGATGACCTAACGGTAGATGAAATCTCATCAAGATTCACAAACATTAACGGCTCTCAGCTAGTAGCCTCGGCTCCATTGCCGATGGATAAACCACATTTTTCACTGTCGTGGCATGCAATTTTTGAGTTGGCAATGCTGAGCATGGCTAATCTAACCCAAAGTGCAACCAAGCTGTTATCCATGCCCTTGTGTGGGGGACACGATATATGATAAGAGAAGTGAGTCAAGTGCATACATATCTGTATTTCCAGATGGTTTGTGCTTGCCACCCCTGCTCAATCTCGACGGGCCATTGTGAGAATTGTGCTGCAGCATGAACGGCAGCTTGCTCAATACTATTCACTATAATTAACGAACGTGATGTAGATGGAGAACGAGATGGTGGAGAGTTATGAGATGTAAAACTTGAATTACAATTTTCTACCCGTGATTGTACATTTTATTGTAAAGTACTACCAACATCGAAATAATAACTACTAAGAGCTGAGTGGTCCGACTTGAGTATAATCTAACATATGGTGCATGAGCTAAGCGTTGATTGGTCCTGGCGTGCACGCTTCGACGTCCGTTCCAAACATTCAATCCCTTCCACGCAGTCAATATCCCGCTTCTTGGAAGATCGACTTTGTGTGTCCTGATTTAGTGTCCGCAGAGAGGAGGAATTTGTTAGAGAAAGTCCTCGCAGCTGAGGGACCTGTTCTACTCGGAGTTTCTGAGCCTGTGGCTGCCTCGCCACCGACGACTTGATTAACATGAACGCAGGTACGGGGAGCTTCCAAACCTCGTCCGGACTCCCGTTAGCTCCGACAAAAACCACAGTGTAAGGGGGAACTCCTGAAGTATCGCCAGAACTCTCTTCCTCGCTGATCGAGGACAATGCTGGAGATGATGATGTGGTAGGACTTCGTTGGGTGAGATGTTTTGCCTCTGGATCAGGCCACACGGGTTTGGTGAGAACCATGTCAGGTATCACAGCAGAACGTGACATGCGTCGGCGCCCTCTGAGTTTGGCGAGATGAGCTTCCTCGACGAGTTCTTCGAAATCAACGTCGACCTCGGGCTCAGGCTTTTCATCTTCCTCGTCCTCAGTCGAGCTAGTATTTTCCGGATCAGGGGTAGTCTCTTCCTCCGTGAAACTAGAGTCTTCCAAGAAAAAGGGGGTAGGTCGCCGTCTTTTCTTCCGCTTGCGAAAGGGATCGCTTCCTGTAGCGTATGTGCCATTGTCATTGGTGTTGGGGTGAAAAACGACGTTGTTTTTGTCTGTGTTTATTGCAGCGTGCGATGATAATCTAGCGTCTACATCTGCGTTGTGCTGCTTTATTGCTAGGCGAAGTTGCTCGTGTGTGAGGTCGCAGAACACCTTAGGTGAAGGCGGTTGGTCGAGATACGGAACGGAGGCGCGACTTTGAAGATGGGTAGGCGAAGGTGGGCAAGATGGAGGTGTTTGTGGAATTCGCTCCGAAGTGTCCGAATTGGGTGTACTTGGGAGCAGTAACAGGGTAGGGGTACAGGGAGAGACTGCCGACGAGTGAACAGGGATACCATGCAGGCCTCTTGATACAGTTTGAAAGCCTTCAAGATCAGATTGGAACGGCGGAAGCTGCACATTGATATCCCTGTCCTGCGTACGAGAAATGACCTCTTCAGGACAAATAGAAGGCAGTGCAGCCCCAGGATTCGGTAGTGGAAGCTGATCTACGGAAAAGAGATCGTGTATAGCTGCAGGAGGGTCTAATTGTAGCGAAGGCGTAGCCATGATTGCGGAGGATGACGATTCGGCAGGCGGGGGAATAATGGGAAGCACAATCGGTTCACTATAGAATCCAGAATCACCAGTATCTTGCACAAGCCCCCCTGATTCCCATTGACTGACGGCTCCAACTTTGACCTTTTTCTTTGGTTTTCTACGTCCATCATTGGGAATTGGCCGATGACGCATCTCGATCGGGATGGTATGGGTGTTTTCAACATGTTTAAGCCAGCGAATAGAATCGTCGAGATTGAGCGCCTGGGTCTGGGTTTGAGGGTCATTAAGATACGATGCGTAAGAAGGGGCAACTCGCCTGCCGTTCACCGGTATAAGCTTGTGAGGTTGTAATGATTCCGTTTTCAATAAGCCTCGCATCCATGTAGGAAATCAAGTATTTGACTTGTCGCATTTCTCGCACCAACGCCTCCTGATCACACCCGGGGACTTCGTCTATACCCTTATCTTTCAAGCAACAGGCCTTTTCAAAGTTTAGTAGCGTAACGTTCATATCTTGATCTAGATGTTGATGAATTTATGAATCTTTTGCATGAGCTTGAGTTAGTCTCTGACCTATGCATATGTTATGGGCGCCGATGTTGTTGTGCAGGATACCGTGTGCATGCAAGGTTTCATAAGCTCGAATAACTGCCTGTTTCTCGCCAACGGACAAGCCTAGATGTGCTGTATGCCAGGATATGTGATGGGGTGGTTCCATGAAAATACTCTTTTGTCCATTAGATCCATCATGTACGCCAATTACGTGTGAAACGACGATTCCTTGAAGCCATCTCAAAAGCTGTGGATGAGAATAGAAGTATAACTTCGAAGCGTTGTCAAAGAAACGCAAGCCTATGAGAAGAATGTATAGTACCTCTTGAAAGAACTCTCTCCATGATTTAGAAACATCCCAACTGGTGAATAGTTAGCTTTTATCATAAACCTCGACAAAACAGATAACTTGCGTTTTCCAGAGACAGGTGACATTATGTCCAGCAATAACGCCACTTCGGACGTTTATACGGTATGCGTGCCCTGAGAGATGGCCTTGATTTAAATTTGAGCTGCAGGCTGGAACAGAGTTGTGAAGAGCACCAACCTATTTGCTTTTTATTCTTCCCATGGAACGTGTGTTTAGCGGCGAATGCATACTTGCCATGAGGCAAGTATAGGTGTTTTTTTGCATCCAATCCGCCCGGGTACAGCTTCTGCAGCTTATCGACTGAGTTCGAGATTTCATTCTCGAGGTCGGGTGCGGGGAGGACCATCGTATCAAAGGGGAGGATGGTAGACTCGTTGTGAATGACTTGAATTTTATGTGAAGAAGAACAATTAGAAGTTGCTGTGGCTCTTTCTACATCATATAAAATATAATATGTGTGTGGACCTCGATACCTTGTATGTTGTGGTCCGTTACGGCCCACGGTTCACGACTTTATTCTTAATTTGACTCAAAGGCACGTAAAGCACGTGACTTGAAGTGAAGTCAGAATTCAAGAATCAGAACACGTTCGTACTAGTAGCTGGGCCGCCATGGAGCTGTCATCCGAGCCACCCATGGACACGCTCTATGCATCGCAGAGCACTTCCGAGAACGAGAAAATTCTTGTCCATCCAGATGGTAGAGGGTTCAACATCCATTTGCAAGTCAATGGGATATCATTACGGCCAAACTTGGTTCGTATGATGAAGGTATGTGATTTTATAGCTTAACCTAAGTAATAGACCCCATAATGTTATGTCTTTATAGAAAGGGGGGGCATACGCCTGTCGCCCAGAGGATGCAGACATCATTCTCGTTGATTCTTCCCAACTCGATGGAAAGCGTCTCATTCGTACCTGGCATCAGACCCCAGGGAAAGCCGTTCTCGAATTTCAATGGCTACGTAAAAGTATCGAAGCTAGAAAACCTCTCCTTGAAGCCGATGGCTGGGGTGGGACAGAAACTTTGGATGATGGCAAACCCATCGTCGAAGTGGCTGCCGATGGCGGAGAAGCAGAGGTCGAACAGCTCGTTTCAAAGTCAGTTTCACGCCCTGAAGTCCCTCAAGGGGACTCTCTGCTGATGCTCTCGATAAGAAGTCCGCTACCTACGCCCCGCGTTA